GATGGAAATAAGATTAATTGGATTTTATTCACAGAAAGTGTAAAGCATATTACATGTGTACATTAAAAGTAAATGGACACATGTAAATTACTTGAATGGTGGGTGGGTTCTCTCAGGCCTCAGCAAAAATGTGAATGTACTTGTTCAGTATTCGGCAAATTTTTTCATTGTGTTTGGATTTGGCCAAGAATTTTCATTTTGGTACATCCCTATCTCTGTTTACTAAATAGTTATCAGGACATCAACAGGAGGGAATTCACATGGCAGAGCATCCCCGCAAAACTAGATGAAGTCCTATCAGGTAAACTTATGTATGATTTTAAGTTAAATAGGGTACAGCTGTTTAGCGCACAGAAGCTGTTGCCATGGTTACTGTCCATAGAGCTGTTACCGTCTCTCTCTCCCTGTATGTACGCTTCGGTGACTTTCTCCATCAGTATTAGGCTAGGCTGTATAAAGACACTGAAAAAAAACCCCCAGAACTTGTCTTTTGGACTTTTCCTCCTGTGATTCTATTCACAGCAGCAGCTGAGCTGCATGTTGAGGAGGCGTGTTGATGACGTAGCCTATCAAAACAAAACCAACGTGGTAGCTAACGAATAACATCTAACTGGTGTGTTCACTGTCGCTTTACCTGGTCAGCTCTTGTAAAATATCCACAGTGTTGCGACTTGTAACGTAATCACTGTGTTTCGTTAAAGTACACGTTTAGCAAGGAGGTGCGAGAAGCTAAACGACTGTACTCAGAGAGACTAAAGAACCAGTTCTCTGCAAACGATGCCACTTCTGTCTGGAGGGGGTTCAGACAGATCACAAACTGTAAGTCCCCCACTCCATAAACAATTCTCGCCAATTCTCACTGGCAAATGAGCTGAACCAGTTCTACTGCCGCTTTGAGAGTCAATGAGACACCATACCCCCGTGACTCCTCCGCTCAGCTTCAGCCTCAGTCCACCACTGCTTGCCATGACTGCTTGACTATAAGACTACTCACGAAGAAGAAGCATTCATGCGAGAAGCTGAAAGAAGCGGAGAAAGAGGCGACCAGCAGAACGGCTTTTTGTTTTTGATTGCAGATCAGCGCCGTAGTGCATTCGCACAGCACATCCTCTCGCTCGTCTCTCTCTCTCATAAACAGCAGCACAAATCTTACCAACACAACGCTGGCAACGTTGGAGACCCAGTTTTAAAAAAGTTATTAGTAATGAGTAATGGTTTAAGGAACATCTGGCACGTGATGTAGCCCACAGAACATTCTCCACAGAGTTATTGCTATAGGCACTTCTGAAAAATAAACTAATGAAGTAGTATGAAAGGGGGCTGTTGCTTTATTGTTCTAAATAGACATTACATTGTTAGTGTACAGTTGTGGTTATAGTACTTGCTTTTATTTTATATAATTCCAAAGCAAAAATCTTTGTTAAACAGTTTAAAAGTTTTAAAGTTTGTATAAATCAGTGAATTATAGGAGTAGCCTACGCTGTCTTGTCTTCTTCCCTGGTTCCCCCCTGGCGTTGATACTGGTGTTCATTCTGAATAGTAAACATTAATTTAATGGTAACGTTAGCTAGTTAGGCTGTGTGCTGGAGATCAGTAATTCAGTCATTAGTTACAGCCCTACTGTTCACCGGAGCAAAGAGCAACCCCGCAGCAACTACGTTGTGATTTTTAAGAACGTTCCTGATACGGACATCTTCCCCAATACTAATCAGCATGCAGTGTGTAGCTATCTACTCCGAGATCGCTTGCTTTTATTTATCTACTTCTCCCACACGCTGCATCCAACGTAGTCTGCCAAAGCCTCGCTCTGCTGCTTGTTTGGGTGGGTGATTTGCAGGCTGATCAACATCCCTCCCCTCCTGTGACCCATGGTTTGACTGAATGTGTATTCAGAGCCAGTGAGAAACGGACTTACTAATGACTGATTTATCTTTAGGGTTTATTGGTGATTATTCAGAAATCTTGTATAGAAAAAAGATAGAAGAGTTTTATAATTTCATCGCAGTCCTCTGAATCGTAATCAAATTGTGAGGTGCCTAGAGATTCCCACCCTTACTGCCCACAACGAAAAGCCAGAATGGAAGAAAAATAAGTGAATGTGTTGTTCTTTAATGTCTTTTGTTGGCAATTAAAATTATGGACGTTAAGGATTGTGACAGACAGGCATGCCAACTTCTTGGCTCAGTATTAGCAGTTTAAACCTCTTCTATGTGGCCTGCTGCTCTTCATATTTCAGTAAGGCAAAACACACTCAGACTTTGATCTGCACGAAATAGATTCATCATAAAAGTATAGCTCAGGATAACAGTAATTCTTGTGCTGCTGCACTAAGAACATTCATCAGTTGCTTTTAAAATCCTCTAAAAACCTAAACATAAATCCAGATTGAAGACAACACCAGTATTGTTAGATGAGCTTTCCAAAGAGATTTAGAGACGACAACAGAAAATGTGATTTGTTTATTTTTTTAACAGGACCAGACTGTATCTAAGAAAACATGTCATTGTTTGGAAAGCTTTGCTTGCACCGTCCACACTATAACGTGAGAGCATTTCAAATTGATCCTATCTTGATTAGGACAGTTTATATATTGCAAAAAATCAAAGTGGAGAGGAAAATATGTTTTCTAAATCTGAAAACACATTTTCCTCTTCACTCGATTAGTGACACATTGACCATAGTCTGGTTTCTCATTTATCCCAAAGGGGTCGGACTTGTTTTGTTGTCATATTTAAATCTGTTCATTTTTTCCTTCATGTGCTACTGTGAAAACATGGGACAACAAGAGGTAGGTTTGTAGCCTGGAGTAGTCTGTAGTCAGGAATTTATAGTTCAGCAGAAGGAGCCTCTGTAGGTGTTGATTTGCCCCCTGGCAGACAGGATGTACCTGACAAGCTACGAGCAGTGGGAGACAGAATGAACACAGGAGGGAGAACGGGGAGGAGGATGTCACACAAATTCTCACTATTCGTTCAGGACACACACACACACACACACACACACACACACACACACACACACCATGCTGAGATATGACATAGTCGGCGGAGATTATGTTTACAGCTATTACAGTTAGGGCTTAACAATTCATCCAAATATTGTCGAAATTGCAGTATGGCCAAGTCCAATATCCAAATTGCAGCGATTGCGGTTGTTTAATTAAATTAAAAAGGTCAAACGAGTCACAAAATACCATTATAAATAAAGCACTGTGATGCTACAGAAATGCACCGGCCTACAGATCATATTCTCCAAACGCAGCAGCACGACATAATTGTGATTGGCCCCGCAAAACAACAAACAAAGCACAAAATAAAGATTATCCCCAACATTTGTAATATGTAGTAATGAGACCTCACCAAGATAACATGACATAATGCAGTTTAAAAATAAACTTTTTGTTATAAATAGTACTTTGAACAAAAGTTCAACTTATTGTTGTGGTTTGTGGAGTTCTGAACATAAGTGTTGCAGAGTGCCCTCTGTTGGACAAACTTTGCAGCGACAACGTTTATAACATGAGTCTTCTGTCTCTGTTTCTTTTTTAACTGACCCTTCGTGAAGCCACGCCCCCCTAAATTACTGTTACTAAGTCCAACAAGCTGTTGAACCTGGTGGCTGCCACTGTCCATGGCGGCACTCCCTGGAGAAATATTGTCAAATTTTTGGACAAACGAAAAAGCGATCTATGAAAGGAAACAGAAAGGTTTGCATTATGCATTTGAAAGTTATTTTCAGGCTGTTTAGAGTGATGTGAAAAAAATACAGATAAAAGCTAAAGCCTACCAATAAGAGTAAAAGTGAACCGCAGCATCACCTGACGATTGAGACAAAGGTTATCTTTACATTAGGAACAATCCACAGCCTACATTTTTCTGGATTTGTTAAGTTTTAGGAAGAGACTAAATCGTACTTCTCCTTTCAACCTCTCCTGGTAGTGATTGTACTTGTGCCAGGATCTGGCCATATCTTGGAAAAAATCGACAGAGAAGCTAGAAAACTACTCCTTTTGCATATGAGTCAAAGCACCGCCATGAAAGTGATGGACCTCAGTCGTATACTGCGCTGTGATTGTCCAGAATGCTTATTTGGGCCGTGGCTTAGCGAAGGGTTAATTAATTTATCTGCGATACTGATTTATCTGCTCACATTGTCCGATAATATCGGCACACTGATTTCTGCCTTTGTAGGATCTTTAATAATTTACCTGAAATTTATTTGATATATTGCTGATTTATTTCAAATCAAAATCTGGTGTAAATGGTTTTGCTGCCTAGTACTGCCCACTTTTATTTCCTGTTGTAGCAAATTGCACAGATGTTTATTACAGGAATACACTGCTGAGGCTGTTTTAAACTGGGCCTGAATGTGTTTCGTGTGTGGAGCAGTCTCCGGAACATAGATGTTGGTTGCACTAAAATGGAGCAGCACAGTGGGTGGGTTGCAGGGCTGCTGTCAGCCCTGACACTCAAACTGCTGGGCCAGCAGCATCCTCACCGACATGGACTTCACACCTGCTGTCACTAATGCTACATCATCAGCTGCTTATCAGCCAGGGGAAACCCCCACCACTGTCTCTCTGAATGGCTGATGAGTGATAGAGGATGGGTGGTTGGGTCTGAAGAGTCACAGTTGTTGTCATGTTACGTTTACAGGAATGGTAAAGCTTAAATAATACGATCAAAATGATTGTGTGTCTTTCCCAGTGAAACAGCATGGCATTTCTTCCCACTGCAGTGGTAAAGAGAACAGTAACTTCAAGAAGTTGCATTGTAAGAGCACGGTGCAGTTTATTTTTGTTGTCCTGCTTAAATGTACCTTTTGTGGGTGGATTTAAAAGAAGAGCCAGTACAGTGTGTGCTGTGTTGCTGTCAGACACACTTATGTCATGCCTGTAAGAAGGCTGTCGGGTGCCTTCTTTAATTCTCTGCTGAATAAATTTTGAAGCGCAGCTTATAATGAATGAATCAGCATAGTTTCTATCTGTTCTCTCATTTCAGGAGGAAGCACAGGGGACACGTCCGTGCCTCTCTACCTGTCCCTTTTGGTGTCACTGACGGCGCTTGTGTCCTTGGTGGTATTGCTAGTGAACTGCGTGACCTGCTGCAAGGAAAGGGAGATCAACTTCAAGGTGAGAGTCCTGGCGGGCAGGTAGCCAGACAGAAACAGCGCCACATGCTCCCATGAGGGCCGCACCTAACGAATACAGAGTGGGCATGGGTTGAAATGGACGGTGTCTGCTTATATTTCAAGACGGAGCCTAAATTCACACTGTTGCATCGTGTTGCATTATCATGGTAAGCCTGTTTTTCCATCCACTCAATGTAGGAGTTTGAGGACCACTTTGACGATGAGATTGACTTCACTCCACCGGCAGAGGACACGCCTTCCATGCAGTCCCCAGCCGAGGTGTACACCCTCGCTGTGTCCCCTGTGGCCCTGCCTGGACCCCCACACCTCCAACCTCCTGCCCGCGTCACGGGTCAGACAGATGCACACTCACTTATATAGCATTTCTAATTATTTGCGATTTATATTGCACTGAGGGCGGGGCTCAGTGCCTACACACACACACACACACACACACACACACACACACACACACACACACACACACACACACACACACACACACACACACACACACACACACACACCCACCCACCACAACACATCCGGTCAAGCTTTGTAAACAGTGAGGAGCGATGCCCACTTTAGAGTAGCCTCCGTCAGACCCACTTAATACAGTGTATTCTGCAACACATGGAGGTTTTTCTGCAGAAGATCCATAGGAAGAAATTATCAGTAGTCAACTATGGTAATAACTTATTTAATAGGGGACAATTCACAGTACATGTATTGTAACAATGCATTCATTGTGAAATGTCCCCATAAATAATTGGACATACATTTGAATATTTACAAATGCATATTTGGTTTGATACATCAAACACATACAAATGATACATCGGTAAAGTTTTATAATGGCTGTATTTCCTTCTGTCTTTTAGTGTCTTTATTTATTTATTTATTTTTTTAGAATCCTATAATCTAAATATACAGGTCTTTTTTAATCCTAAATGTGCTTTTTATAGTTCATGCTGCAATTGGGACATCATCATTTAACAAGGACAACATGATTGACCTGACTGTAATTAATACAGTCTTAATTAACATTGCTTTGTGGTTGGTTTCACAGAGGGATCCGCAGGCTTCCAGGTAGCACGTCACAGTCTGAGTTACATCCAAGAAATTGGCAATGGCTGGTTTGGCCAGGTAAGATTGGTTGTCTTAAATGTGCCAGTTTTGCATTGTCCCAAAAAATAAAAACAGAAAATGTTAAATAAAGGTAATGCTTGGTAGAATAAGTTTATTCTATGCTGCCTTTAACTAGAGAGCTACATAATCTGTACCACAGGCTGGATTTATGCTCTGATCTGTTATAAGTTTTATACATATATTCTCTTCCCCTGTTTTTACTGCTTATTATGCGACTCATCTTAAGGTGGATAAGTAAATATACAGTGGGTATGGAAAGTATTCAGACCCCTTTAAATTTTTCACTCTTTGTTTCATTGCAGCCATTTTCCAAAAATCAAAAAAGTTCATTTTATTTCTCAGTAATGTACACTCAGCACCCCATCTTGACAGAAAAAAACAGAAATGTAGAAATTTTTGCAAATTTATTAAAAAAGAAAAACTGAAATATCACATGGTCATAAGTATTCAGACCCTTTGCCGTGACACTCATATTTAACTCAGGTGCTGTCTATTTCTTCTGATCATCCTTGAGATGGTTCTACACCTTCATTTGAGTCCAGCTGTGTTTGATTATACTGATTGGACTTGATTAGGAAAGCCACACACCTGTCTATATAAGACCTTACAGCTCACAGTGCATGTCAGAGCAAATGAGAATCGTGAGGTCAAAGGAACTGCCTGAAGAGCTCAGAGACAGAATTGTGGCAAGGCACAGATCTGGCCAAGGTTACAAAAAAATTTCTGCTGCACTTAAGGTTCCTAAGAGCACAGTGGCCTCCATAATCCTCAAATGGAAGACGTTTGGGACGACCAGAACCCTTCCTAGAGCTGGCCGTCCGGCCAAACTGAGCTATCGGGGGAGAAGAGCCTTGGTGAGAGAGGTAAAGAAGAACCCAAAGGTCACTGTGGCTGAGCTCCAGAGATGCAGTCGGGAGATGGGAGAAAGTTGTAGTAAGTCAACCATCACCGCAGCAATCCACCAGTCGGGGCTTTAAGGCAGAGTGGCCCGACGGAAGCCTCTCCTCAGTGCAAGACACATGAAAGCCGCATGGAGTTTGCTAAAAAACACCTGAAGGACTCCAAGATGGTGATAAATAAGATCCTCTGGTCTGATGAGACCAAGATAGAACTTTTTGGCCTTAATTCTAAGCGGTATGTGTGGAGAAAACCAGGCACTGCTCATCACCTGTCCAATACAGTCTCAACAGTGAAGCATGGTGGTGGCAGCATCATGCTGTGGGGGTGTTTTTCAGCTGCAGGGACAGGACGACTGGTTGCAATCGAGGGAAAGATGAATGCGGCCAAGTACAGGGATATCCTGGACGAAAACCTTTTCCAGAGTGCTCTGGACCTCAGACTGGGCCGAAGGTTTACCTTCCAACAAGACAATGACCCTAAGCGCACCGCTAAAATAACGAAGGAGTGGCTTCACAACAACTCCGTGGCTGTTCTTGAATGGCCCAGCCAGAGCCCTGACTTAAACCCAATTGAGCATCTCTGGAGAGACCTGAAAATGGCTGTCCACCAACGTTTACCATCCAACCTGACAGAACTGGAGAGGATCTGCAAGGAGGAATGGCAGAGGATACCCAAATCCAGATGTGAAAAACGTGTTGCATCTTTCCCAAAACGACTCATGGCTGTATTAGATCAAAAGGGTGCTTCTACTAAATACTGAGCAAAGGGTCTGAATACTTATGACCATGTGATATTTCAGTTTTTCTTTTTTAATAAATTTGCAAACATTTCTGTTTTTTTCTGTCAAGATGGCGTGCTGAGTGTACATTACTGAGAAATAAAATGAACTTTTTTGATTTTTGGAAAATGGCTGCAATGAAACAAAGAGTGAAAAATTTAAAGGGGTCTGAATACTTTCCGTACCCACTGTACATGTTGTCCAAATAATCCTCAACCAACCTGTCCAGTGGATCACCCTTCCCTCATTTGTTTTTAACACTTTTCTCTGAAGTTGTTGGCACCTCTTGCCCTCCATTTAACATGTTGCATGTTTAAGCAGAAATGCTATATGTTGTCCCCTCTGTATAATGTTTAATGAAAATGTCATCATGTATTAACAGGTCCTTCTGAGTGAAATCTACACAGATCCAGGTGGAGCCAGAGTAGTGGTAAAGGAGTTAAAAGCTAATGCAAGTGCTAAGGAGCAGAATGATTTCCTGCAGCAGGGCGATCCATACAGGTAAACACCCCCACCCAACACCCTTTAATTAGGACTGTTACTTTTCAGACACTTTTAATTAAAGGTGGACCCCAATTCAAATATTTGATTGATTAATGATATTTATTTATTTCAATAAAATGCTTTTTAAATGTGTGGAAGGACAACCATACATCACATGTGGAAAAAAATAGCTGTATGACATCACTGTAATGTTAGCAGCACCCTCTACCTTTCCTCTGACACAGTGCGTTACACTTAATCTCCTCTCAAATCTTAAAGATAGTATTTTAAGGTATTATTTGAAAGTCCCGATTAACAGCGTTATCACTTGGCTTCATGTTGTTTTGTCTGTACAGAGTGCTGCAGCACCCAAACATCCTCCAATGCCTGGGACAATGTGTTGAGGCCATCCCTTTCTTGCTTGTCTTTGAGTACTGCAAAATGGTGAGTGAGAATTATATATTGTAGTATTTATGAGCTCAAAATACACCACCAACCCCCTTTTAATGTACAGAAAGTAGCTGGTTGTATATGAAACTTGAATTATAGCCAAAATTAATAATATTACGTTTGTTGGAGTGGAATTGATCTGCTATAAATCATGTGTAATCTTATTTTGCAGCATTGTGAAGGCTTTCCTCCATGCAGCATGCAGTCTTTGTATACTAGTGTCGAGGAATTGAGAGATGGTTTATTTACTACTTTCTGTTTCAGCACTTCTACTCTTCAAAGGCTTCATTAATTGAGAAATCTGAGAAATAGCTTTTGTCAGTCTGTTAAGCTTCCAAATTCATAGGGCAAGACCCATTTAAATACTGTCCAGCAAGCATACATAGCTGACCCGCTCTGTTGACCACCTGGACTGAAAGGCTACTGGGTCAAATTAGCCCTTTTGTTAATTAGCATATTGAAGTGACTCAGACTCCATCACGTCAGCTGATTTATTCACTGTTTCTCTTTATGTATTCTGAGTGGGCCGGGCCCTGACTACTGGGAGCTCCCTCCACCTCCCCTCCCCTAGTCCTGCCGATCGCATAGCTAGTCTTAGTCAGGGACTTCTCACATTCCCACCTCACCCAGTAAAGTAGCAGGCTCCATTTACGCGCTCCTTGGTGTCAGCTCCACCAGTTGCTGTTTGTGCTTTTTTTTATGGGTGGCACCTTGTGTATATTGGAGACTGTTAAGTTCAGTCTAGAGTAAGCTAAGTTAAAGGAACCTATGGGTTGGCCAGCTACGAATGCAAGAAGTGACAAAATTGTTACCTAAAAATAAACACCACCTTGCTGTGTGTTTAGTTTATCTTAATAGGGCAAATGTTTACGATAAGAAGTGCAGTAGCTTTTTGTACCATGGGCTTTAATTGTTATATTGAGTAACCAAGAAGTAATGTAATAAATACTAACACTGACTCACAGAGCTGATTCAACCTTCGCTGGGCTTTTCAGAGATTTATAGCGAGTTTCAGCTATTTTCTTTAGCTGTCTTGGGTAACTTTTGTGTTTTGGTTCATTCTCACTGCTCTAGCGTTTTTTAGTGAGCAGCTGAAGACTGAAAACAGAGCTTAAAGAGAGTGGATACTGGATGAGTGATGATGAGAAATGTATGAATGAACGTCGACGGCAACTCAGGACAGCAAAGAAACCCAAGCCAGGAGATGTGGAGCCTAGGAGAGAGAGACAGGCTAAAAGACAGAGTGATATATGGAGCCTAGGCTAAGGCCTACACAGGTGTCGGCCCATTACTTAACGAGCCCTCCCAAACAGCCAGCTCCTGCTGGAAGCAGCCAGTGAAGCTACAGCAGGCAGAAAGGGAGGGGTCGTAACACTGGGCTCACCCTCAAAGTCCACTGAGTCCGCCTCAGCCGCGTTACGGCTGTGTAGTAGAAGCACAAAAACAAAATTAACAACAAGTCAATAACGTGGGGCAGGCCTAACACTCTGCTGAGACACTTACAGTGGACGTTGACGCCGGGCAGAGGACAGAACAGAAAAGTGGCGCAGCCATAACGCCACACAGCCGGACTCAATGCAACTGCAGCCTCAAAAATAACCAAAGAGGTGGATTAAAACACTCATCACCCATGTCCTACTCAGACAGAAATAAATTATCTTGTGTTTGGGTGTGTGTCTGTGCACATCACACCCAGGTGTGTCAGCACTTACTGCTTGATACAGGCTGCATTTATTGTGGTAACCACCATGAATAAGCTGGCTAAATCGACTTTAGAGTTTTTTAAGGGGGAAAATCACACTTATCTGTTGGATTTAAATCTGCATTTTATGTAATGTATTAGTTGCTTGTGTGCAAATGTGCAGACTGCAGCGTGGCAGAACATTGTAATAACGTCTCCTTGGATATTAAGCCACATTTTATTTGCTTGACAAAACGGTTTGAGTTACTCCAACCCCATCTTTGCCTTCCCATTTGTCTGACCGTGACCATGTGTCAAGCGCGGTCCAGTTGGGCTCATCTTGCCAGACATTGCATAACCTTGTTGTGCCGGGGTATTGTCAGCTGCCCGGGCCTGGCCGGTGTCCTGGCTTTGTGGTCTTTCTCAGCCAGCCCGCTCCTGTCTCTGACAGGAGATGAAGATGACTCACGGTGAATTACGTACTACAAATGTATGTGAGTCATTAGGGAAGATAGTGTGATGATGAATTCCTGTTTGTTGAAGGCGATAATGTGTGAGGGCAGCACAACTGAGTGATGTCTATGCTCGTTATCCCTTGTCCGATAAAGAGTTTTGAGGACTTGAGCCAAGTAGGATCTTGTCTTACACAATACGCATTTCCTGCCCCCACCCCCCCTCATATTCAAATTAGCTTTATTGGCATAAATGTATAGCAACAATATTGCCAAAAGCTATATATAAAGGACATACGGACAATTAATTTCATTAGATAAGGAAATAAAACAGCAAAAGTTGTTTGTGTGTGTGTGTGTTAATACAAAATAAATAATATATAAAATATAACAATTCCGTAAGAATAAATATTTAAAAAATGAAAATAAGTAAAACAATAAGCGTGTATGTGTTAGTATGTTAGAAAATGAAAATATTTTATTAAAATAAATAAATAAAACTGTGTGTGTCTGTTTTAAAAAAAACAAACAAAACAAAAAAGTTAGTATAATTAGTAAAAGTAAATAACACCCTCTCTCTCAATAGAGATATTAGATATATCTGTGTGTGTGTGTGTGTGTGTGTGTGTGTGTGTGTGTGTATAACTTCCATTTGCACTACTTGCACATGAAACTTAAAAATCACACTTGCTTCATGTAGAAAAAAATGACTTGTGTGTGGCTTCCCACTACTTGAGCTCATGTCAATCATCCCCTAGATGCCGAAACATGAAATGTGACACTACAGCTGCGCAGTGGATGAGACACATCCCAAAAAGCCAATATCCTGTGACGTTCCCTCTGACAGCCTGGTGATTGATGGTGATTTTTCCGTCCCATATCACCAGTGCAGGGTAACCCTGACTCAAAGCATTTTAGACATCAAAATACATCAAGCAACTGTTACAGGGGCGCAGAATGCGACATACCATAGTGTGAGTGACAGCTTCTTATGCATGGAGCTACTGCCTGGTGCTTAACCAGGACTTCTCTGGTTCAGGGTCTCAGACATCACCCAGCTGACTTTTGGCTTTCGAAAGTTGTTGATCTCCTTCACTTATTACGGCTGTTAAAGCAACAATCCTCAATGCATTTCTATGGAAGTGTTCTTTATGTTACTATCATGCCATTAATTGAGTTATACACTACTGACCATGCTCTGCCCATAGGCATAGTGAGCGTTATAATCGCCTCATGAATAAAGTTCTCTATGTGGTGGTGGTGTCCTTTTTGACTTCTGTTGGCTAATTGGCTCTATTGGTGGACCTAATTTTTTTTAAATTAGTTTATTTTACAAAGACTGTTGGTGCCTTAGTGGCCATGAAATAAACTTGTTGAGTGCTTTATCCTGGATTTAACATTACTTACAAATAGGGGTGGGACGAAATCTCGTGCCACGATATCTCGTCAGGTAAAAAGCTGTCTCGCGAGACTCACGCAATTGACATTTTTCACATGATGTTAAGCCACATTAATTTCATCACGCAGTGAAATACAAATGTATAACTGAGAGAAGGGGAGGTAGACTTCTCATCAAATGATGACATTCTCATTAAATTGTGACTTTTCTGGACATGTCAGAGAACACAGATTTGTGGGAGAGATTCTGAATGTGCAGAAAGTTTTGAACATGAGCAGAAAAGCTGCTGAAACACGAGCTACAGGAGAAACCAATCTGAGAGCAGCACAGAATGCCTGAGAGCTACTCTGCATTATATTCAGTTACAGTTTGAATTGTCACCTGCCACCTGAATTTTGTTTCTCTTTACATAAAAAATCACCATAAACTGGTGCAGAAAAATTCACCGTTAATAGGAAATAAAGTGTTTAATACTCAAAATTTTCATATAATTTAGCATAAAAGATTTCTTAAAAATAGTGTTAAAATCTCGTCTCAATCTCTTGTCTTGTCTCGTGGGTTAAGTGCCTCATCACACCCCTATTTACAAGTAAATGAGCTAACTGTAACTAGCACTTAAATAGCTTAATCATTTTTTTTATATAACTCACGATGAGTGGTGGCTGAGGCAGACATGAATCTGTGCACTGGGAACCTGCCACATTGTTGTTTATTCAAGGGTCAGACACAAGGCTTTATTGTTTTGGCCTTTCACAGTTAATGTTGTTTCATTAGCAGCACTGGATCCTCCCCTTGAAACCCAGGCCAGATCACCTGCTGCGGAGCCTTCACCAATAAAGACAGGCAGAGGGTATCACTTACCATACATTGAATATAGCTCTTCTGTGAAGACTGCTTCTCAGAGCTGCACGTGTTTACGTCTTTTGTGTGTGTGTGTGTGTGTGTGTGTGTGTGCACATGCAGAGTAAATGTGGTTGAAGCAACCCATGTTCTTACATACAACAACAGACCTAAGCTGATTATGGTGATATAGCTCAGGGAAAGGTAAACACACAAACACAAACTTGCATTCTCAGTAACTGCATGTGACTTGACATTTTGAAAAAAAACTCATATTTTATGTGACTCTGTTGCGTGTACAGTATGTTCTTAGCTCATTCCTCAGAGCAACTCAGTTCTGCTGGCTAATAGGGAATTTCCCTCGCTCGGACTCTGTAATGAACATAATCTTAAACACACACTAGCCCTTTGCGTTCACGATGAGGAAGTTCACTAAATTGTCCACTATCCCAAGTTGTAGCAAAGTGTGTTCAGAGTGCCCTGACTTAGTTTGCACACATTGTAGTGGAATATCAGAAAGGCCCAACATACAATATTGTAATGACAGTTTCTTAATTATAACTACAGGTCTCCATTGAAATTCCCTACCAGCCCTGGGGTGTGAACCACACAGCTGAGACCCTTGTTGTAATTCATATTTAGAGTCCCTCGGGACAACCACAAAGAGCCCTGTGGGTCTGTGATCTGAACACCGTGTTCTAGATTAGCTTCCTTATCTTGACTTCTCAAAGTGCTGTGATCAGTCACACTGGAAACACAAGACTTAATATCACTCTCTAACATTGTGTATGCTTATTATGCTGAGGTGTAATTCATTAAATCAAAATTTCCTTGTCTTGCTTCCCTTACGGGACAGCTTGTTCTTTTCTCCCCTCCACTCATGAGCTGTGAAACGCAACCGGACACAGTTCATTTCAGTGACCTGAGCTGGAGCTTTTATTTATAAATCTCTGTGACACGGCATAGTGGCCCAATAAACAGCGTTACCCTTATTTGGTCCTGTCACACATCAGCAGTGAGAAGTGCTGAGGAGACAGTAAGGAGAGTCTACTGCCCCTGTGTGGTGGTCTCTGCACAATGCATCTAACTAGTACCACTGGTTAAACTCATCCTGTTGCTATAATACAAATAAGATTCTTCCAGATTTATTGAATGTTTGTGTTTGATATTTGTGCGTTAAAACAGCTGTTTCTCTGTGTGTGTGTGTTTGCAGGGGGATTTGCGGGGCTATCTGTCTCAGCAGGATTGGATGTTCAGAAATGCTGAGTTGCTGCAGCTGCAGAGGATGGCCTGTGAAATCGCTGCCGGTGTCACTCACCTTCACAAACACAACTTTCTGCACAGGTAGCACTTCAGAATTGAAACACTTAAGCAAACTCGTAGGTTTTAGACCCACTAAGCAGCTGCTGTTTTAGGGTAATGCATGAGAGGAGAGACGCCACTCAATCACATCGTCTATACAACTCTATGGAGAAAGCCTGTAACGGCCAAGATGGCAGTTATCCCGCTCCTCCCGCTAGAAAGCCAATCGTCTGCTTGTAACAGGAAAAGCGGGAAACATATTTCAGCCAATCGTCTGGTTCCACTGACGTAAGGGTCTGTTTTACTGCGACTGCGTGTGGCAGTAGAGACGCGTGTGCAGTAGAAGTATAATCGGTCGGGAATAACGCTTTTTAAACCTTATTTGGGGCAAAGTCGTCTTTTTCAGCAGTTTTTATTAGAGTATACTGCTGATTCTATTCATGTAGTTTTTATGTCCCGGTGACCAGTGAAAGTGCAGTTCTGGCTCTCTCCCCATTTATTCAGAAAGGAGCTTGGTCTTGTTAGTCCGAAATAGCTGCCCAGAGGTGTTGCCAAGATGGCTGCCGAGTGGCATGACTTGCCTATAAGGACTTTGGTAATGCTTACTCTGTCAGTGACAGCAAAACATTGTGATTACATCATTTAATTTCAACCTCTACTAATAGATGCATTTATATTTTCACTGAAGCCACATTTAAAGTTTTTGTGTATTAGATTTTTAGTTATGTTTTTATTAGTTATTATTTTGGTGTTACTTAAATAAGTAGTAGTTTTTATTATGTAAATTTGGTGTTAAATTTGAATTTGCGCAATGATTCGACTGAAATTTCAAATATTAATAATAAACACATGTCATATTGCATCTTGTTAACACATAGACATAAATCTTTTCCTAAATGTTTGGATCAAGGCATACTAATACAGTTTTCATTGGATATGATTATTACATAGTAATTTTACTGGGTGTGTAATGTCTCTTGGTAAACACAACGTTTTAAAATGTGATTGCAAAGATTTAGGTCAACTGTTTTACTTTAGTGCTTACTGTTCAACCACTCTCCCAAGCACCAGTGTTCTCCAAAAAAGGTGTGTCCAGCAGAGAGGCTGCATTTCATTTTCATTTTCACCCCTGCGAGTACTGGATGTCTGGCTGCTAGCAGCCAGGAAGCTACTGGGGATGTTGGGAACATGTGGCTTGGGGGTAACATACGATGCGCAGCTCATCAGCTCTATTTTGCATGCTCAGAATAAGCTCAGAGGGTTCCAATTACACAGCTCCCATGCATTGCCACAGCGTCAGCTGTCTGTTGCCAGAAGGATATGATGATTCTGCTCTTTGCATGTAAAAGGATAGCCTCATATTGAGCGTTGTCTTAATCCTTGTTACAACTCAATGCTTCCCTCCATGTGGACTAACTTCATTTACAATTGTTAAAATATTTCTGTGGAGCTTTCGTTCAAAGGCCTCAAAAATTTAATGAGAGGTGGCTGATAGTGCAGCGCCACAGACACAAAACCCCCAGGGCAAGTGCTGTGTGGGCTGATATCCAAAGCTGAAACCTCAGCACTGCAATGCAAGGGTGAGAATGGTGCTGCTAAAAACACATACTGCACTGTGTTTACATCAATATATTCTCTTTCAGAAACTGTGGAAGGAAGTGTCTTTTAACCTCTTAAACTCCAGTTTGACCCCTAGGTCCTCAGTCGACAATACTGTCATTACTGTTAATTTTAATGCTCTACATTTAGGCCAAATTTTGGTGAGGGAAAAACTGACACGGCCATTTTCAAAGGGGCCGCCTCCCCTCTCGCCTCCGAGATATCTGAAAGAAAATGGGTTCTATGGGTACCTACGAGTTTCCCCTTTACAGACATGCCTTCTTTATGTTAAGCCCATGTAACTTGAGGTAAAAACCATGCCGTTTTTGCATGCAGTATAAATGTTATTTTTGCCAATTTTAAAAATGTGGTTTATTTGAATATTTCTGTATACTGGAATTCCTAAACAGTATTGGGATTGCAATTGCATAAATTGGGTATGACTGGAAAACTGTTTAATGCGGATTGAAGGCTGGTTCCAAAAGCGAGTCAATCCTCTTAGACCCCCATGTTAAATTGCTCAACTTTACAGCAGAAATGTCCAAAAAAAGTCCACATTATTCTAGCACTCATTCAGATCCAACAACCAACACCCCACTCACTACTATTTCCATCACTGTGTTTGATAGACAGTTTTAGTCAATGTTGCATTAGCTTCTTATTCTCCTCAAATATGTGTCCTAGTTGTAAACCAATTTCTACTTTGTCTGCATTAACAAAGCATCTTAATGCTGAGAGGATAAGACGTGGTGCTAAGGGTGAAATACAAATAAAATGATTACTTTTTTCTCCTCTATAATTTAAAGATAAATTATCTGCAATGGAATCATATTCCTATTAATTATATCCATTTGCCACTAGGAAATATTTGCTCAAATACTAAATCTGATCACTATATTTGGGGGCTTAGTGAAAGTATGATTATCGACATTTCTTAGTAGTGGACGTTTCTTTTCAGTGAGGAGCTATGTGCTTTTCCACTTGATTAAAGATCAAATTAAGAAACCGCTTGTGAAAATGACTGCTGGTGTCTGTGGGTATAAGAGCAATCATTTCCACGCCACGTATTACTCTGGTAGGTTTAAGATTTTGGACCCATGTCTATACTGCCGTGTTAATGTATTTTGGGGCCCACAGCCAACAACAAGGGACAGGAGGGTTTAAAATAACTCTCCATTTATCTTCAGTCAGTGGCTCTGACAGTAGCTGGGCCATGTACACACAAGAACACTGGTGTCAGCCTCTAGAAACTATATCCTGACACTTTATGCACGAGTCAGGAATAGGCCCTGTATGAGTCTTGTTGCAAGGTGAAGACCAGAGGCAAATGACAGAGGAAGAATTTCCTATATTTGCCAAGGTCATTTGTGATTTTTGCCAGACTCCCTTGCCCTTGATTTGTGCGAGGTAATCTTAGCCTTTAAGGTTAAGTGCAGATGGTGGATTCCTTGTATCATCTGTGTAAGATTAGTTTCAACCTTGCTTTTATAGACACAAAAAATGACTAACTGGCAAGAACAATTATCAGCTGATTATTTTCATTCCAGGGATGATCAAAAAGTTGCTTGCGAGCTTCATTATCAGTGAATGATTTGGGAATTGTGAATTTGTATGTAATGCAACCGTATGTGATGCGCTGATGTTTTTCTCTATGCTCTCATAGTGATTTGGCTCTGAGGAACTGCTACCTGACTGCAGATCTTACAGTCAAAGTGGGAGACTATGGAATTGGACCCTACAGATACAAAGTAAGCAGGAACACCTCAATTTCAGATATTTCCAGTTCTTTTATTTCATTGTTGTTGTTGCGTGGAACTGCATATTCTTGTCAACACCAGGGGCTGATTACACAAAGACACTGGAATGGGCGTGTTAACAGTGCACTAGCAGCCCAATGATATGCAGCTAAAGTGGCCCAATGAGGTTACCAACGCCATCTAGAGTCTTTGTGGAGCTAGAAACAAACCTTCACTACGCAACAGTGGGTGTAATGGTAAACCACTGATCAATGCATTTATAATAAATATTGTCCAATACACAGAGGAGCATAATTAATTTGTGCATCTCTAGTCTTGGGTGAATTATAGGCTTAAAAACGGTAGCCAACCCACTCTAGACTGTCTTGGAATAAGGCACTGTTGTAATAGTGAGACCTATTAGCCAAAAATGGATGAGGAAACGGAAAGAGGAAGGAAAACATGGGTCAAAGAAAAGAATCAAACAATTAAAAAAAAATTTTTTACAGATCACAATAACACCTTGTGTAATATACCTTTTCGGCTGTTGCCAACTCAGCAGGGCCCATGTGAATTAGAGTTTAGTAGTTTGAAGCAGGTTGGCAATGTTTTTTTTTTTTTTTAGTTTGAAAAGAGCCAAATTCAACAAACTATTCAATTACCAAATTCAACAAACTATTCCTTCTTAAGATGGTTAACGCCTACTCTCTAAGTATAAGTCTGGCTATTTATTAAGTCACAAAGTCTGTCTTAGTTCAGCCGGCTCCAGATGACCTGTTGGAAAACAAAGTTTTTCATCGTAGGCTGTGCCTTGCTTTGCCTACATATTTCACTGAAGACTTAACATCGTCTTCTCTTGTAACTTGACACACTGCTTATGTCTGAAGGCACTTCTGTCTGCTGCATTCCTTAAATACTGCTGATCAGTCAGTTTGGCTGTCTGAATTTAAAACTCATAACACAAGGTCACCCACTGAATCTATTTCTGTAAGAAAGGCAGAGGCAAAGTGACTGCGCTGCCTCAATGAGGGCTAATAAACAACACATTTTCTCCTGTTGTAGAGGGTTATTTATGAGCCGGTGTTTGCACAGCAATTTGCAGTGTTTCCTAGAAATCTACGACTTGTACAAATAGCAAATACTGTGCATGAGTGACATTTTTTTTTTAACGTTACTATAGGAGGATTACATCATCACAGAGGATGATGTGTTTGCACCCCTTCGCTGGTTGGCTCCTGAGCTGGTGGGCGAGCGCCATGGGGGTGTGATTACTATGGAGCAGACCAAGCCTAGCAATGTGTGGTAGGTACCAGATTGCACCTCTTCACTGAGAGTAGAGGATCCAAAACCCATAACTCATAATTACTTTGAGAGAACCTGAATCTAATCCAAAAATATTTTAAAATGACACTCCAGAGAGAGCGAGCTAGAGTCAGGTCCTGTGATCAAAATATACACGTGAAATATATTTAGAATGAGATAAATAAAGTAGGACTGTAAATTGCTCTGCAGTACAAACAAGCCCTTTCTGCTAATTCTAGAGCTTGTAAATCCTGAACAATCTGGATTGTTTCTAAAAAGCAGGGTGTCCGCAGGATCTTAAGTCTTGAAGAGGTGGTATTATGCTTTTTGGCTTCTTCCCTCTCCTTTTATTGCGTTATATATCTTTTTTGTGCATATAACAGGTTTGCAAAGTAAAAAAGCCTAAAGTCCAGCCCAAAGGGAGTTCCCATCTCCGACAGAAAGCTCTGCTCTGAACCGCTTGAAAACAGCTCATTTGTAGTCCAGCCCTTCACTTCCTTGTGACGCCACAATGAAAACGCGCGGCAAAAGCTTGCCAAGCGGCTAGCGCGGTCAGGCACGCCCTCCAACCAAGCTAGTCTGAGCGGAGGCCCTTTGGCTCGACTCGCCTTTGTTTGGGTTTCCATTGTAGAAAAGTTGTACTTGTACCTGCTTCCAGGTACTTTTTTTCGTATCACCTCACCTCCGTCGAGGTTCCAAGCGAGCTGAGGGATACTAAAATGTAATGTGAAAACACAACAGACTGCTGATTGGTCAGAGAGAATATTCACTATTCACTGCATCATCATTGCGTGCGCCAGACGGAGCCTGTGCCAACTCTCGGGAGGAGCGTGTGAGGACGGCCAGCCGCCCGCACACAGAGCCCTCTGCTCCTGCCGTCACACAGACCGCTGCGGCAACAACGGCAGAGGAAAACACAGCTGGAAGGTTTTCATACCGCTTATCTGTCTTTACATTCTGAGTAATGTTGAAACGATTTAACTTAAAAAAGAGAAAGCTGTGTGGATCGCTGGTGTGTGTGTCACATTGAACATTACGTTGTGGTAGTTGTGTGTGGCGTCGCTATGACGACAAGTTACATACTATCTCTGGGTACTATCTGCAATGGAAAACGGAGCAGGGCCGAGTAGAGTCGAGTCTATCGTTTTGCGCTATGTGGTAGCATTTTTCGGCAAGGCAGCATAGATCGTCACAACACCGGCAACAGTTCAACGATTAGTCCTTAAAGACGATGCGACTCTGTTTGGGCATGAAAATTCACAATCACAACCTGTAAGTATGCTTTATTGGTTGTGAATTATATTTAAAATAAACACGGCAATGTAACTTCACACTGTTCAAGTGCGGAGTTGTTGTAAACATTGGCTAACACAGCTAAAGTTATAGCTATAATACTAATGTTACACATGATGTGAAAGCTACTGAGAAAATGTTTACATTATTTGGTTTGGATCATACTACCTTGTTTCTTACGACCCGCCCTTCTCTGCTTCTGATTGGCTAGTAGTCCTTACCTGGGAACTGCGCATGTGCAACTCCCAACAAAGATTTTGTACAAGCAAGATGCATCACTCTGTAGCTCAAGAGTGGAGCGTACAACACATAGGGTGAAAAGAGGAGCTGCAGCAATGTGCAGTATGAGAAAAATATGGTGTTTTTTGAAAAATCTGTTCTGGTACAACCCCTAAATAAGATTTTGAACCTGAAAATGAGCATAATACCACCTCTTAAAATTTCCAAATCAAAATTTAAGGCCTTAAGAAGTCTTAAATTCACTGAAGTTTGTGTTGTACATCTGAAATAATTTTAAACAGGTCTTCATTTTCAAATGTCCATGTTAACACTACCTCTAGTGCTCATTGAATGCTCCTGCAGGCTTTAGAATGTTTTTTTTCCTTCTGTGGTGTTGTAGTTTTTTCTTTCACTAGTCCAAATACAATTCGCTGTAATACAACTACAAAGACCAACAAGCAGCTGTCGTGTTATTGCCGCGAGTCTCTTTCGGATTGTACCACAGATATAAAACGGATTTATTCTTCAACTGTGCGAAAGTGCAAACTTTGCGACTCTTGCCTAAAAGAAACATAATTCAGGGCTTGGTTAAAACCAGGTGCTTGCAACGTATTTGAAACCTACTGTTGCTGCTTAATGAATGAGCGCTGCTACTAAAATTTCACACACGCAACGCATGGCTGTCTCCTGCTCCTCATTCTTCAAAGGACGAGCGAATGTGGGGGAGAGAGCGGCAGAAAGTGACGGTGAAAGTTAGCGGAGGATAAGATCAGCATTAAGTTGTCAGGTTACAGCTCTGCCTCTACTTGATGAAGATCTCTTGATAGTTAAATTAAAAAAAAAATAAAGGACAGTGTTGACCACGGAGGAGCTGAGGTTATTAACGTTAAACCAAATTAGGGATGCAAACTAGTCCTCCACAAGTCATTGCCCAAATTCCTTTCGGTCGTTGTAGTTACAACTGCCAGATTTTGGGTCAAAAGGGTTAAGGTCATATGCTGAATGGGGAGTGCGCAAGATAAATCATGTCCTGCAGTAAATTCCAATAGCTATTTTTTTATCCTCAATTGTTTGTAGGGCATTGGGGGTCACATTGTGGGAGCTCTTTGAGAACGCTGCTCAGCCGTACCCACATCTGTCTGATCGGGAGGTTCTTAATCATGTGATCAAGGATCAGCAAGTCAAACTCTTTAAGCCACAGTTGGAGCTTCCTTATTCTGACAGATGGTGAGTCTTTGGAATATGTCTATTAGAAGACAAAGTTTTTAAGTAATTGAAGTTATTTGGCAATTTAAAATTTATCTTGTTTGAAAATTAAAACGTTTTCTCTGTAACTGCAGGTACGAGATCCTTCAGTTCTGCTGGCTGTCTCCAGACAAGCGGGCCACGGCTGAGGAAGTGCACCGTTTGCTCATTTACCTGCGCATGCAAGGCCAGAAGGACATAGAAGAAGATTTCGAGCAACGCTGGGATGTTCTCAAGCCTAACCCTTCCACACGGCAAACCACTGTTAGCCACTCCTCTTTCCCAATCTTAGAACAGTTTGCCGATGATGCCCTGCGACAAGAAATCGATGAAGTTCTCACTGTTACTGAAACGAGCAAAGGTCTCAGCTTTGAGTATGTTTGGGAGGCAGCCAAGCACGACCACTACGATGGCAACCTTGGACGTTCAGGCATGGACACAACATTGAATTATCACAGCATGTTCTTTCCTGTTTCCAGTGAAGACATCCAGGCCCATTTCCCTGATCCTGTAGCCAGAGCATCGGACACGGAAAGTGGCAACACTCCTTCAGGAATCCCTGGCATTGTACCAGTGTTTGATGCACAAAAGCCATCTAATGGAAATGAATATTACATACAACTAGAAGAACAAGGGGAGAACTCCATTGGGGACAGAGGGCAAGATGTGGACTTTAGTTCAGGCCGGCAAGACTTTGTTGTTCTCCAAGATGTTCGTCTGGATGAGTCTAGTACCGATGCAGATTTTTTCCACCAAAGTATTGACTCCAAGGATTCATATTTACCAGACAGCCACATCTGGTCATCCCTTGAAAATGACAGTCCATACCACACCAACATTTTCACCGAAGGGGGGTCCAAGCATGAGGATTCCCCATCCTGGAGACAGAGTTTTATGGAGCTTCCAGAGCGCAATGGGAACCCTTTCCATCAAGGTGCACCTTTTGTAGTCCAGGAGGTGGATACAGATAAAAGCTATGGGGACTCTTTTTTAGGGGATTGTTCAGAAGCCCCTCACCTGACTGAAGTGGAGGTGGAGCAGGAGAACACAGATGTGAACAGGCTTCTGAACACTGGAAAACTAGCTGAGAACTTCATGTTTCTCAAAGACCACAGGCTGATGAAAGACAGATGTAGTTTCTCCAGTCCACAGGAGAATTTTCTTTCACCTGGCATAGCCCACGAACCAGAAGCAACATTCAAAATGAGTTCTTGGGACAACCTTGAGACTTTAGGCAGCTTAACCATAGCAGACACTTATTTAAAACCTGCAGCAAGTAGCACATCCTCAAGACAGGAACTTTTAGACTCTCCAAGTGGCAGCTTGGGAGACTTCTGTCAGTCTTTGGTAGAAAATGAAACACTGGTGCCTTTCATTACAGTGGTCACAGAAGATAACACAAGCAGCCAGCTGCCAGTTAGAAATAGTTCTTCCACTGAAGACCTTAGTCTGCTGCAATCCTCAGACAGAGGTGTAGACTCTGGGTTCGATTCTACCTCAGAGAGGTTTGAGATTATCATTAGTGAAACTGATGGCCACACACCTGCATTATCTGAAAGTGCCACTACAGACTCATTGTGCACAGATGCCAAAATTCCCAGCCTTGAAGACGACCATGGAACCTCAAAGGACAATGTTCAGCCTATTGAAGGTAAATTGTCTGAAAACATGCAAGTCGAAGCATTGTCCTCAGACACCGGACACAATGAAGACCTAACAAGTAACGATCTGTTGAGTGAACTCATTGGGGATACAGATATAGAACTGGAAGCCACTCTGTCCGACCATGAAGAATCCTTTATGGATAATAATGGTCATCCTCTCGTCCGATCTTCTCTGTTGGTCTCTGGGCCATCTTTGGACCAGATCAGCCAGGACAGTTTACTGGAAGACAGTATGTCCACCACTCTACCAACTGTGGATAATTCAGCCGAGACACCAGACTCTTTAGACTCTCTCGACATCCACAGGCTAGGTGAACAAGGAGACGAGCTAAGTGCTCAAATAGCCCGACACAAACTCCAGCCTCCATACAAAATTTCAGACAGTGGGTATGAGACGGAGAACCTGGAGTCTCCTGAGTGGAACTCTCAGCCCACCGTCAAAGAGCACTCCCCTGTAAAAAATGGCTCGAGTGTTGCCAGAGAAGAGGAGGAGACAGAAGAGCACGCGGCACCGACAAATCTGGTTCCACCGGAAATCATCATCTCTGAAGTAGAAGGTGTGCTGGATGCTCACAATGAGGATCCCAGTGAGGGCCAGCAGCCAGATCGCGAAACTCCTGCTGAGGAGCCAGTCATGGGCAGTAATTACAGAGACTCCGCCTACTTCTCAGATAATGAATCAGAACCTGAGAAGAAGTCTGAAGAAACGATAGCGGGAGGTTCTGGTGAAGTCACATGGCTTAGGAACTCGATGGACGCGGCCAGCGGGGCTGCCGGAGGAGCAGTACTGGCGGTTAACGTGGAGAGAGATGTAGATTCTTTGTTTTCTCAGCGAGAATCCCCTGTAGCTGCTGAGGCACAGGCCGCAAGCGAAACACCGAATCCTCATGTTGGGGGTATATTACTAGAGGCAGATTCGGATATCACGGAGAAATGTGAGACAGAGGCAACAGAGTCTACCAACAATCATATTGAACATGGAAATCAACTAAAGGTGTTCAAGGACGTCACATCTCCTGATCAACCAGTCCCATCAGAAGATCTAGAAACCTCAATTCTGCTTCCTTCTGATATGCAATCAAAGCTGTCGCCAGAGAACACAGGTCATGCTAAACTAACCAGGACCTACGCAAGTGACGGTCACAAAATAAAAGAGCCGGACATGGAGGGGCGTTACCTTGGCAGGCGAGATGGCTCGGGTTTACACGGACAGGAGGATGGCGTAGATGCGGACGAGGAGGACGAGAACAGCGACGACTCCGATGACGACACCCGTGGATACCAGCTACACAGCTCCAGCTCAGAGAGCGAGGACGATGCCGTGCATACAGTTCCACTTATTATCTCAGATGACAGTAGAGCAAAGAACCTGAAGAGCTTGTTGAAACCCACCACGCTGAACATCGAGGCACCGGCTTCCCCATTTCCTGCGAGGTGCAGCGCAGATAACTCCAGAAGAGCAGTGTCTTTCTTTGACGATGTCACTGTCTACCTGTTTGACCAGGTAAAGTATTGTCTATTTTGTTGGGGGTGGGGAGGTTTGTCAGAGTTATTGTAGCGAGTAAGTGTAGCGGGTAAGACACGTTTGTTGTAGGGATGCACCGAAATGAAAATTCTTGGCCAAATCCGAAACTGAATATAATGAAAAACTTTCCCGAATACCGAACAAGGTTTTTAAAAAAAAATTCCATTTTTTTTTTGGCCGAGGCCCCACCCACCATAGTCCCACTATAAATTACATGTGTCCATTTACTTTTTATGTAATATGTTTTATACTTTCTGTGAATATAATCCAATTAATCTTATTTCCATCCTGTATAGACACTTGCTTTGAAAATTGGATGTTGTCATATTTGTATCCTTGCGCTAAATTTATCAAGTCCGACTCAATATGATAAATAATGTTGTATGTGGTTCTTGTATTGCGTAACATGAAGACTTCACAGCCTCTCTTCAGGTAGAACTCTCATACTGCAACACTTGTCTTTGTAAAGAGACAAACTGTCAGGATAAAGTCGCTAACCTGCCTGTCAGCTCGCACTGGTCTGTTTCGGTGGATTTACCATAAAGGCTTGAATACGTGTGCACTCCAAATTTAGGTGCGGCTAGCTTAATCGCCTTCTCAGAAACGAGTGACAGAAACATTCAAAGCGGTCCAGACCGTTTGTTGCCTTTTCTAAGCAGTCAGCCATAGATGGAGTGGATGTGCTAGGAGACAATTCAGCAGAACAGTGTCTGCAAACGGCGATTTTTGCGTCTTTCTAGGACACTTAAAAATGCTTCCACACTGCCGACATGTCAACGTAATTGTTCGGTAAAATTAATTTTAGGCCGAACACCGAAAATGCTTCTATTTTTCTATTTTCGGCCAATTAATTTCGGTGCAACCGTTGTTTGTTGGGCCATTCTAATTAAAATCCAACATAATCTGATTTAGGAGACCCCCACCAAGGAACTGGGTGACCACTCCTCCGGCTCAAACAGTCAGGCACCAGAGTTCAGCAGCCCAGTGCCCACTGCCAGCTACCTGAACCGGTTTACCAACTCTGAAAGCTCCACTGATGAAGAGGGTAATGCCAATACTCATTAAATATATGCAGCTGCTGAAAATAGCCTTTGCCACTTGCCTAACTCATACATTAAATCCCTACAGGTGGTGGTTTTGAGTGGGATGATGACTTCTCGTCCCCCGCACCTGCCTTCCTGCCCAAGAAGGATAAAGACCCCGTATCAAATGTTATGTCCTCATCTGCAGCGTCGCGTTTTTCCTCTCCGCCGCCGGCAGTAGGGCGCGTGCTGGAGCCCAGCTGGACCAGCTCCTCAAACTACTCCCGTTTCTCCATCTCACCAGCCAGCATCGCCAGCTTCTCCCTTACACATCTCACCGACTCTGACATAGAACAAGGAGGTAAGTTGAGCATGCAGTCGCACCAAACCTGTATGGGTTTTGACACGGGCTTAAAGGAGTAGTTTGACATTTTGGGAATTGCGCTTATTAGCTTACTTAGTTAGATGAGAAGGAACCTGATGGTAACGACAAAACTCCAGGACGTTAATACACCTGGCCAACAAATAGTCGAGCACATAACCATCTGTAAAACTGCAATATGTTTTTACACTCTTTACACAGATCTAACAAATGTGATTAAAAAGTGTTCATTCACAAGCTTTAGAGGAGCAGGTGGTGGATTGATTTTACCTTTGGACAGTGCCAGAAAAGCCTTTTCCACTCTTTATGCTTAGCTAAGCTTACTGGCTACTGGCTGTAGCTTCATATTTACCATACGCACAAGAGAGGCATTGATATTTTCTCTCTGCAAAAATACCCTTATTCCCAAAATGTCAAACCATTCCTTTGAATAAGGTTAATTTTTATTGCAGTCTTCATTCCATGCTCGGTCACCCTAATAATAATATAAATTAGTCATGTTTGAGTAATATTCATCAGTCAGTTGAACATGTTTAAACTCTCTTTATCCTCTTTTGTTCACCTCAGGAAGCAGTGAAGATGGAGAAAAGGACTAACGTGATAAATGCAGGGACCATTTATCATCACACTTAAAAAAAACAAACAATAAACCTATACTCGCACTTTTTGAGAATGGAGGAATGGCTGAATAAGGACAGATGACGCGGTTTGTGGTGCAAACCGTGGATGCTTCTCTCAGGCAGAACTGTTCTTTACGTACACGGAGAAGGCCATGAGAACAATGGCTGTAAACTGACTTTCAGCAAATAAGACGGACGAGGCCGAGTCTGCGCGACATCTCCTCTCCAGCTACATCAGTGTGTGTTTTCAGTTCAGTGCAATTCCCCTTGGTGGAAGAAAAAAACAAAGTTTCTAAATGTTTGCTTTAAAGACTCATCAAGCGCATTCCAGGTGTTTTTGTTGTGTGTCGAAGTGCACTCGTTTTCCAGGACTTTTCCATCGCCAAAAAAAAGAAGAAGAAAAGACTTGGCATTTTATGTTCTAAATTCAACACACTAGTCTGGCAAACGTACCACTATAGCCAAATAGGAATAAGCTCTTTGATTTCAGCCGACCTAAAACTGAAGATCCAAGTTTATTTTCTTGTAATATTGTTAATTTTCTTTCCTTCATGTTGTGCGATTATTTCAGTGGTTGCCTTTTTATTTTATTTTTTTGAAGAGTGATTGTTTTTTTCGTAACCTCTTGTTGGTGTTGGAGAGAAACTGTGTGTGCTATTTTTCTCTAGCAGCATTTGAATATAGGAAGGGTTGAACTTTAGAAAGCGAAAGCGCCATCCATGCTTAGGATGATTGGATAACTATGTTAGCTAAAAACCCCTCATTTACAGAGGTGATGCACTGTATTTTCCTTTTGTGTTTTGAAAGGAACATTTACAGTAAAGTCGTTTCATATTTTTGAGACATCTCAGTAAGAATGGTGGGTGGTGTTGAGGATTGTTGCATTAATCCTTACGGATTGATCCAATTTATTAATTTTGTAATGTTTCATTTTATGCAGAAAGTTGCTCAAATGGTTTTGTCCCAATTACTTGCCACTGGGTTTCTATCACAGTGCCTGTGATGCTGTAAAAAAAAAAAAACAAGAAAAACAGCTGCAGTCCTCCATTTGCTATAAATACAAAGTTTCAACTGTAAAAGAAGTTGGATTTTGAAAAAATTTATTTTTTAATGTCAGAATGACGAGATGTTTTGAGCTGTTTGTAAACAAATGTGCAATGACTTTCATGAATTGGTTGAAATTTGAGTATGGGCTCATAGGAAGGTGGTAATGTGCAGGGACTTTAAACTTCACAGAAACTCACTACTAGAACAAAAAAAACACTGCTGCTTTTATCAACTTCAGTGTCATGAACAGAGTTGTCGGCCTTTTTTTCTTTTTACTTTGTGTCAAACTGAATTAACCTGTTCAGATGGTATGTTCCTCAATAAGAACCCCTCCAGTTGCAATTTTGAGCATTTCATTAGTGTGTTTGATCATTTGCAGGCCACACATCGTCTCTGTGGCTGTACAGGGTTGGGTGGGGATGTGAACGGTTTATGTATTGAAGCATAATGCAAACGTTTTTCATGTACAGCTATAAAAACACTGTTCTTTGAAACTGTAGGTTAAACAGTTACTGTATGGTTCTTTCCTTTTAATGAGTCAAACACCTTTATCACAGATGACCTGATGAACACCTGTACTTCACCTGTAGTAGATAATGTCCATCTCGCCCCATACAGAAAGCACTGTACAGTATCTTAGACAATGTTAACCTCTGTTAAAACCAGCAGCCCGTGCTTCAGTTAAACTTGAACATTTATTTAAGGAAATCTCGTTTTATTTGACTACAGTATACATTGCTTAATCTTGCACATTTGAGAAATGTAACTTAATGTTGAACTGTACCTGATGTATGTAAATGTTAATTTTTTTTTCCGTCTGTAAATGGGAATTGATTCAACTGAGTTGATAGGTATGAGGTTTCATTTTGTAACTTAAAAGTTGAGTTGATCAGAGGAACATATCACAGTCGTCAGCTAAAAGCAGTTAAATTAAGACACAAAAGCAGATGTGAATTCATTCTGTCCTTTAAACTTGTAGATTTTAAAAAATATTTTTACTTCATATTTATCATGCTTAGTGTAATTGAATGAAATGTTTATAATTACACTGTTTAATATGAAAATAAATGCAAATGAACTTCTAATTAGGGTTTGTATCTTATGTGAAATTTTCTGTTCCCCTTTTCACCGAGAGCATCCTGGGACAGGCTCTAGTCGGCAGCACGGGTAGAAAAACGCATAAAAGGCGCACAGACCCAGGATGTCCCAGCCAGCATTGCATACCAAGTCTCGTTTGGTGCGCACTCAGTACACAGTGCCAGAAGATTGAACTAGCACAAACCCTAATCAAGCTGTGGCTCACATACTACTGCAGCACATGCATGTGTCACCAAACTGCTGTTCACTAGGTACCTGTACATGTCTTCAAATACTATGACTATTGTGTTAAGTACTATAGAGGCTGCTGTGGCTTAGATCAGTGGTTCTCAAAGTGGGGTCTTTGACGGGGTTCCCCAGTAAAAAGGGGAATAATTTATTTTCACTATAATTCTAATAAGTAACACAGTGACAGAATGTATGACTATTTTGGTCATGAGTTTCATACACTTTCTCTAATTAAACAAGCCAAACTCCTATCAGATTGGAGTCCATGGTCTAATTTGAGTGTTTAGGGATCCTTGATGTGAAAGAGTTTGAGAACAACTGGCTTAGAGGTAGCGCAGGTTGCCCACTAATCGGAGGATCGGCAGGTCGAACCCTACCTCATCCAGTCACCGTGTCCTTGTTGGAAGACTGAAAAGGCGTTATATAAGTACAGTCCATGTACTCCAAACGCAAGGCCAACTTTCTTTGCTCGGAGCTTTCAACCAAATCCCGAATGGAACTTGGCACAAGTGTAACAAAGGGTTGTATATTTACCACAGATAGGAGCCCCAAAGGTGAATAACATTTCTTTGGGGTCCAGTAGGCGAGTGACTAAAATGCATCAAATATAATGGCAACGTCTATGGTTCATTTCTCGCTGGAAGCCTTTGTTTCATGTTATGTCACCCCCGTATTTCCTGTCTGTATCTCTACTATCGCTCAAATACAAATGTCAAAAATGATGTCAGAACATAAAATAATATTTTTAGACTTTATTTCACATGTCAATGCCCTTGTAAGAAGAATGTCAAGTCATGGTGACATTCAGACCTGCCGTGCAGTTTCAACAGTCACGGTCATATCGTGGTCATAGCAGTTATGGATGGATGGAGAGAATACTAACAGGAAGAACTTTCCTTATTGCAGGCGGATAGAGAGGTTATCTAGTAATGCAGAAGGAATTTTCCAGATTTTTCTCTGCAGTCGTGATTAAAGAGCATTATATTTGCCTGAGGCGTGAAGACCTCAAATTTTGCCAGTGCTTTTGGAAAAAGCCTTCTAGATCAGAAATGCTTTTTGTAGCAGTACGGGCACAAAACACTCCACTGCAAACATATATTAGGTCAAAACATGGAGAAACAAAATTCAACAAAAGCATAATAAATAAATTAACTCACATGCAAATGTATGTCAGGCAAAAACAAACAAAACAAGACTCTAAAAAAACAAGACAATGTAGGCTACAGTGGGATTGTGTTTGTGAAGACAAGTTAGTTTGGTAGCCAAACCATAGCCCTTTATCAAAGTCCCTACTCTCTTAGCTTTTCACAGGACATTGTGTATAAGAAAGCTATTGCTAGATCCCAAAACACCCAGTAGCCAAAACCTAGTAAGAGCAAACACATGCACTCCCTTCAAGATCCATTCTATTTAAATGCTCTTGTGCTCCCTTTCCTGTTTTGTCATCAACAAGCCAGGGATTAACATTTATCCATCAATCAAGAGTCAAATCCAACCAAATTATACTGTATAAACTCAGTGGTATGATTCTGCATTCCCTTTACATGAAGGGATTAGGGCCTGTGGGAATGGTCTGAGGAGACAAATGTGGATACCAGGCACAAACAGGGCTGTGGCCGGAGGAGATGGGAGGATGCTACACACCAACAGCATTCCCGTTGACTTGTGTCAGAGGCCGCGGGGGGAGCGGGCTGCGTGGCGGTCCAACAGGAGGGGGATGGGGGGCACGAGGAGCCTCTGCTGAGTTCCCCCTCACACTGATGTGCTCCCATCCTCCCTGAAAGTCAAACACACGTAAATGACTCCGTACTTGAAAATGACACCTGCAAGCATCTTCATAACTATCTGCTAACTTCCTTTGCACATTACTCACTGTAACGTGCACCAACAAGGCCACGATATTCCTATTCAATCAATGTAATAAAAATAATTAAAGAAGTAATTAAAAAAACTGGCTGTGTGATATTGCTGTGCTTTGGTTCTGGTACAACAGCTGCTTTCTGCTACCTGAAATTCTGTCCTGCTCTGCAATCTAGTTAACCAGAACTCTTTACTTGCACTATTTCATATTTAAAGGAGAAGTCTGTTGATGTTCTGTATTTTAAATATTGCCCGTGTCCTCTGTGCCAGAGAGCTCCATTGAATGTCAGAAACTAAAAACACATTAGTGAGCCACACTGTTGCACCTGGGTGACACATTCTTCATTATGATAAACATGGGCACTTTTTAGTCTTTTGAGTCAGTCCCACACACGCACTGTCCTGCTGCTGAAAATACTCACAAGAGCACCTACCAACGTTTATTAGTCCTTCACTGAAAGTATTCGCAGTATTTACTCCCATTTGAGTAATGTGTGCTAAAAACTTAAAAAATTTGTCAGCTTTTTAAAGATGCATTTCTTCAGTAGGAACCAATGTGCTTGAGTAACACAGACAAGGATGGGAAGTCAGAAAGTATTACCACATTGTTGGTTTTGGTCTTGTTGACAATAAGTATATATAATATATCTTTCCAGCTTTATTTTAATTCCTTGAGTGCCAACATTAAAAGCTAAAATGATTTTGAACAGAGATATATGGTCAATTAAAGTGTGTATGTTCTTTTATCATATTATCCGTGAAATGGGAATTAGAGGGGGTCATGGACTCACCCCTATACCATAGTCCCAGGACTGGCCCTTGGGTTGCATGGGTCCCACCCCCAGCCTGTGGCAGACAGCTCCAGGAGTCTCAGCAGGGAAGCCTGGGACTCCATCTGCTATGGTCCACACCTGGAGAGAACAACAGCCCTGAGCCAATCACCAGCCAGTCATGGCTCATTATCAGGTACAGTTTGCAGTCGGATCTTGCTTGTCTTTGGTGCATCACCATGCCCGCTGTCCTGAAGCTTTCTGAGGCGATGCAATTTAAATGGCTTTGGTAAATACAGTGTCCGCAAAGTAACCTCAACTTCATTTCCTGGAGTGACTTCCTGTCTGCTAATACTGACCTGGTCCAGCGGCCCTACAGAAACCGTGGTGACGTTGTTGGAGATGAGCTCCCAGGCCGAGCCCTGAGGGTAGCTGGGGGTGAGGCCCTGTCTGTACCACAAGTTACCTATATGAAGATGAAAAGGGTTTATTTGATTAGAATTCGTTATCTCCAATTTTGTAAAGTTTTCTAATAAAGTAGAAAAATGTGGTGTTTACTGCTACTCACTGTTTTCATCCACAGCATAGACAGAGGTCCGCCCAACAGACAGCTGTCTGAGGGTCTGCCTGAGGGGAGACGGGATGTGGTACCAGCATTCTCCTGTAGAGAGACAAGAGCGCTGGAAGTTGGGCTCTATTTGGTCTATTACTGCCTGGTGCATGTACACAAACAATAAAAGCTTTCATTGACTTTTAATGCTGCATAGGCTACAGGATAAGAGAGAGGTCAACTGACCTGCAGGGTTTTGTGGGGAAACGGATCCTCTGTAGAACACAGCTCCGTCCTTGGCGATGGCCCACACTTGGTTGGCTCCGCCGATGGAGATGGACTTAAAGGTCTGGTCTGTGCCCACATGTAGCCAGGAGCTTCCCTGTGAGATCAAACACACTGAAGCATGAGAGAAGTGTTGTTTTCGACACACTGAAATACCGTAAAACTGATTAATAGGCCGGGCTTTTATTTGCTAAAATCACTGAATTGACCCTGCTTTTATTTGGGACAGGCGTCCATATGGAAACTGAAACTACTATGAAACAGTTTATTTATTTCAAACAGAATATTACTTGTATAAAAATGATCCAATAATATCAAATACACGTCATTCATTTGATCTAGCTCCGACAGACGGCTTATGCGCTTTTATTTTGAAGGCAGCAACGTAACGAAAACAACATAACGGTGCATGATGTGAGAAGTGTGGCAGATGAGACAAAGAGAGATGGGACTAAAGGAATATAAATAATCAAGGAACGGAGACTTTTTCCCCCCCTTTTCATCTCTTCTCTCAAGAATTAGACTTGGGGGCTTTTTGTTTCTGTTAAATGAACTGAAAGATTGAATTGTGGACAATCGAACCGATCTAATGTTGTGTAGCATGTCCATACTGACATACATTTAAATATTAATATTTGTATTAACAATCTAAGCAGCTTAGAAGCAGCTAAAGCTGGGCAACCCAGCGGGGTTTAAGGGGTTTTATACATCCAAAGAACTTCTGTAAAAACCAGACCAGGCGTTTAATGGAGACCCACGTTTACTTGTCAAAATGTGTTCCCACACCAGGCTAGTAAACGGAGTAGGCGGCTATTTGGGACTCTGCTATTAATTAAAGTTTTACAGTAATAAACAATGAAATCTAAGATCTATGAATATTCAGTAGATCTAGAAACAGTTCCTGCTGCTCTCACTGAAAATCTCTCTTGGTTCTAAAAGTAACTGTAAATGTTTACTGTCCGAATTTGTTCATCAGCACGTTTCTCACCGCAGGGTTCTGGGGGCTGACTCCAAGACGACACAAGACATCTCCCTTGTCACTGAGGGCCCAGACAGGGACCTGCTCCATCCTGCTCTGGGCCAGGCATGGCATCAGAGAGATGTCACTCAGAGGGATGGGTGGGACCTGCTGCCATGGACCTCTCAATGTGATCTTACACTTCCTGTACGCAGAATACGTGTTTATTTTAACGCTGAAGAAACTGAGAGTTACACACCACAGAAATGTGTGAGAGTGTGTGTTAGTTTCACCTCGCCCATCTTCTGCGCCTGACAAAGTCTTTCATGGTTTTGT